ATATATGGCGATCATCTCCAAAAAGAGTAGGCTTCTATTCTGACCCTCATCTTATCCCCATGCAAAATTTTGTAAGGATCGGGCCATAAATGCGATCTGTATATGATATATTGATATCCTAACTACTTAGTTTTGTTAGCTGTAGAAATATTACCAAATGTGTAATTCAAAATGAAAATATGCCAAAAATATGACAAAATTGAAAAAACATGAGAAAATTTACAAAATCAATATTTTCATCTTTAGAGAGATGTTTTTTATGCGATATTTTAGGCGTTTTTTCTTTCCTGCCAAGAGGCCATTCTGAATTAATGAGAACTGTCGAAATCAGTTCAGCATATCTTCTTTGATAGACATATATATCGCACATATTTTGCTATATATTCGATTTGTTGGATCTTAACATCAATGTAAAGATCAGAAGTAACCTTGTCATGGCTTTGTGGTTTCGCCGGGATTTAAAATATTCGCGGTTTAATGAAAAATTTTGAATTTTTTCAACAAAAAAGATATGGTCTATTTTAGCCGCTAATTATTATCCGATGACCATCCAAATTGGTAGGCTTCTTCCCCGTCCTAAACTCTAGCTACATGCGAAATTCCGCGTCGATTGGTCTATAATTGCGACCTGTATAGCTACTGCAAAATACGACATTTTTTCAGTATTTGGTCCATTTCAACCCCTAAACATTTGGCGATCATCTCCAAAAGAAATAGGGTTCTATTCTGACCTTAACCCCACCTACATTTTAAATTTCGTGAAGATCGGGCCATAATTGCGACCTGTAGAGTGATTACAAATTAACATGGACAGACGGACAGACGGACGGACGGACATACATAGCTAGATCGACTCAGCTCGGCGAGCTAGGAAGATCCATATATACTTTCCTATATGGGAAACCAATATTTCGAGGTGTTACATAAATTCTGGCCCAATCAAACTTATAATACCCCCAACACATAGTGTTGTAGGGTATAAATATTCAATAATGCATGCCTAAAAAAGCGATCACAAAAATAGCTTAAAACGCTGAAAACTCAATATTTAGGGAGCTATGGCCATTTCAAATTATGGTATAATTCATGCCTCATGATCACAAATAATAGCTAAAAACGCTGAAAGCTCAATACTTAAGGAGTTATGGCCATTTTAAAGTATGGTATAATTCATCCCTTAAAAAGTGATCACAAATAATAGCTAAAAACGCTGAAAACTCAATATTTAAGGAGTTATGGCCATATTAAAATATTCAATAATTCATGCCTAAAAAATAATCACAAATTATAGCTAAAAACGCTGAAAACTCAATATTTAAGGAGTTATGGCCATTTTAAAGTACGGCCTTAAAAAGTGATCACAAATAATAGCTAAAAACGCTGAAAACTCAATATTTACAGAGTTATGGCCATTTTAAAATATTCAATAATTCATGCTTAAAAAAGTGATCACAAATAATAGCTAAAAACGCTGAAAACTCAATATTTAAGGAGTTATGGCCATTTTAAAATATTCAATAATTCATGCCTAAAAAAGTGATCACAAATAATAGCTAAAAACGCTGAAAACTCAATATTTACAGAGTTATGGCCATTTTAAAATATTCAATAATTCATGCCTAAAAAAGTGATCACAAATAATAGCTAAAAACGCTGAAAACTCAATATTTAAGGAGTTATGGCCATTTTAAAGTATGGAATAATTCATGCCTAGAAAAGTGATCACAAATAATAGCTAAAAACGCTGAAAACTCAATATTTAAGGAGTTATGGCCATTTTAAAGTATGGAATAATTCATGCCTAGAAAAGTGATCACAAATAATAGCTAAAAACGCTGAAAACTCAATATTAAAGGAGTTATGACCATTTTAAAATATTCAATAATTCATGCCTAGAAAAGTGATCACAAATAATAGCTAAAAACGCTGAAAACTCAATATTTAAGGAGTTATGGCCATTATAAAATATTCAATAATTCATGCTTAAAAAAGTGATCACAAATAATAGCTAAAAACGCTGAAAACTCAATATTTAAGGAGTTATGGCCATTTTAAAGTATGGAATAATTCATGCCTAGAAAAGAGATCACAAATAATAGCTAAAAACGGTGAAAACTCAATATTAAAGGAGTTATGACCATTTTAAAATATTCAATAATTCATGCCTAAAAAAGTGATCACAAATAATAGCTAAAAAGACTGAAAACTCAATATTTAGGGAGTTATTGTCATTTTCAAATATTCAATTATTTATGCCTAAAAAAGTGATCACAAATAATAGCTAAACAAGCTAAGAGTTTGCTCCAACTTTGCAAATCCTAATACTTCCATCGGTGCTAGGTCAGCTGCGAAAATGGGCAATATCGGTTCTTTCCATCAAGTATCTCCCCCACAAAGGGAATTATAATCAGAATTGTAATTATAGCTCTTATAAAATTGGATGCAAGAGTCTGATTATCCTCAAATTACATACATCACAATACTTTTATTAAACCAAGGTCTGATATGAAGATGGGACATATCAGTACACTCCTCCTGGTACCTCACCACAAAGGATCAACATTTTGATTATCCATGAAGATCATAAAATTCGAAATTAACATCCGATTCTACTCAGACCTGGCACATCTCAAAGTTTCTATCAATACATGATCTGTTATAAAGATGGTAGAGATCGGACCATTCCTTCTGTTATCTCCCCCAAAAAGGGTCAAACCGGAGATGAATATTTATGGTATCGCATACCATACCAATATTTTTATATGTATTAGATGAAGTATGAAAGTGGAATAATTCGGTCGACTGTACCATAACTGGTACATATCTCATATAGGGTAAAGGAGGTAAAATCAGGTACGTTGCAATATTTATATCATACTTATTCAGGTCCAATACGGTACGGCCAATTCCTTTGGCACCTATTCCATAGAGGGACAACATTTTGAATAATCATAACAGAAGTCAAAATTGGCTGAGCTATACATTTGACGGAAAACCACCTGTAATTATATAAAATATGATATGAAAGCAAATCCAGAGATCGACAATTCCGTTAAATTATATTTAAAAAAACCATAAACCTCATATAATTTTCTTAATGTATACCGGGTGATATAAAAAAACTGCAACCAATTTCAGACTGCTGTCATTTCCAAGCCACTCATCCGACAGCTTTTAAAATTATTCCAGTGATAGCTTATTATATTGTGTACAAGCGTACAAAAGCATTTGGTGAGAATTTGCCGGAAAAAAATATTCGCAATAGAATTCAAGCGTGATGGTGTGATTTCTTTTTTTGGCTAGGACTCCAGCATTTAAATGTGGATAAATTTTTGGTGTCTTGTATCATCGCTCATTGCCGTGATACTGGTAGCGTAGCCCGACGTCAAGGATGTGGGCAGAAGAAAACAGCAACATCAGCAGAAATGCTTCGAAAAGTAAAGAAGCGACTTGATCGAAATCCGCGTCGCAGTGGCCGAAAAATGACTCGTGAGCTGAACATATCGCAATATTCCATTCCGCAAATATTGAAAAATGAGTTCGGGCTAAAGCCATTTAAATTCCAAAAAGTGCAAGAACTTACACCGCAACAGAAGGAAAATAGACTCAAAAGAGCTAAAGAGTTGCTTCGCTTGGCCGAAAGTGGTGAACTGCCGAATTTGGTTTTCTCCGATGAGAAAACATTCGTGGTCCAGCAGTTTTTAAGCAAACAAAATTATCGTGTTTAATTGCCAAAGAGGTCATCTGAAAATGTGCACCTTCGGTTGGCCACCAGAACTTAAGCGCCGGCCATGGTGATGGTATGGGTCGCCATAACAACCGACGGTCGCTCTCCGCTCATATTAATCGACTTTGGCATCAGAATAAATGCCGAATGTTATCGCGAAAATATTCTGGAGTGTGAATTAAAGCCTTGGGCACGCAAACATTTTGGCCGCAGACTTTGGACATTCCAACAGGACTTACAAAATGAGGTTCCTCGCTTCATTTCCAGCACACAATGGCCACTAAAATTTCCGGATACCAATCCGTTGGACTATTGTGTCTGGAGTATTTTGAAAACAAGGTTGGCGCTAAGAAATAACAAAGTGTCGATCACCTCAAGCTAGCGTTTCGCCGGGAATGGGCCAAAATACCGCAGAGCAACATTCGGGCGGCGTGTGACGGTTTCATTGGCCATGACGATTGAAGACTATAATTTGTGCCAAAGGTGGCTAATTCGAACAAATCTAAACTTATTCTAAAATTTGATGCTATTTCCGACATTTTTTTGCTTTCATTCAATAAAATTTAAAAAAAGTAAAAATTACGGCGTTTAACTTTGTAACAGATTTTTTATCTCACCCTGCTGGTTTGCTTTTTCGAAATTTTAATTAAATCAAAAATTTCAAAATTACATTTAGAATAGCATTTTTTCTATCGCATTCTCTCTCAAATCTTCTTATAAGCAAAGAGCCTTAAATCAACTGGCCATCTTTATATTAGAAACCCATTTAAATATAAATCATCCACTCCACATTTTAAAGCTTGCTTAACCATTTATTTACTTGTGCTTTTTAAAAAATAATTAAAAAACATATATATAATAATATTCCACAGTTAGTCTTAGTGTTCTTAGTTTACTTGGTTTGTTTATGAATTAAATTAAAATATTTGGCAAATGAATTGGCGCACATCGGTCACAGAAAGTTTGATGAAGTTTTCAAAATATGGAAATTTAGAATGATCGCCTATATAGATGGAATTGCTGTTCTTGATATATGTGCGTTTTTAAAAAATCTGCAATTGACTGGATTGGATGGTGGTTTTGTCAGGCAGTTATGTAAAAAAATGTTTTGGTCTTTTTTTCGACAATCATTCGAAATAGCCATATTTTGAAAACTAAACCCCACCCGTAAACAATGTGACGCATTCATTATTTTTAATTAAAGATGTATAAACTATAGTTTCCCATAAAAAATCTAATGTATTCTAGATGTATATATATATAACCCAGTGACTCTTTTTTTAAGATATTCATTTTATTTAGGCCTGTTTCGACAATTGTTCTTGACGTTTCTTAATGTAGGTTTTGACTTTTTGGCCAACTTCACTGTCCATAAGACACTTATGAACCTCATAGACATGAACATCATTCTCCTTATCGGCCTTGGGGTATTTGGCAACACAATCATCGGCCAATTTCTTGACATCACTCTCTTCCATGTCCATTTTGAATTGTTTGGCAATACGATCGGGATGCCAACCTTGGTGGGTGCAGAAGATGTCCATCTTCACGGAGGTGCACATCAAGTATTTGCGTACAGCTTCCTCATTGGGGAAATCGAAAGATTTCATGTGATTCATTTGCTCCTCGGTCAGGGGAACTTCTTCCAAGCAAGCAGCGCGGATGGTTTTGATTTCATCGGCGGTCTTGGGTGTCCAATCGTCGGCCGAGACCTGCAAAAAAAAATTAGTTAAGAAATTTTGAAGAAATATATTACTGAGTTTGCTTTAAATATAATTTTATTTCAGAAGAAAAAAAAATTTATGAAACTTCGGAAAGATTTTCTAAAAAAGAAACATAAAATGCAAAAATAAGATATTTTTATTTAGATTTATGATACGGTCCATATACTTTAATGTTCGAAGTTTATTTCTTCTAAATATAGACCGGGACTACACCTCCTCAAATGATCCATTCGCTTAGTGCAATTTTGACATACTTTGGTCAACATTTTTGTCAGATTTTGACCAGATAAAGCGGGCTTGTCCATATAGACATTAAGTTTAATATATCCCCACAAAGATACAAATTCGCACGATCTAGGAGGCCGATAAGTGTATTTTTACACGTACTATGTATACTACGTCACGTCCGTATTGGGTTATCCCCGACGTCAAGTTTTTTTTTTTTTTTTTTTTTTCTCATATTTTCTATTCAACTTCAATAATTTTTATACCCTACAACACTATGTGTTGGGGGTATTATAAGTTTGATTGGGCCAAAAATTATGTAACACCTCGAAATATTGGTTTCCCACATAGGAAAGTATATATGGATCTTCCTAGCTCGCCGAGCTGAGTCGATCTAGCTATGTATGTCCGTCCGTCCGTCTGTCCATGTTAATTTGTAATCACTCTACAGGTCGCAATTATGGCCCGATCTTCACGAAATTTAGAATGTAGGTGGGGCTTGGACCAGAATAGAACCCTATTGCTTTTGGAGATGATCGCCAAATGTTTAGGGGTTGAAATGGACCAAATACTGAAAAAATGTCGGATTTTGCAGTAGCTATACAGGTCGCAATTATAGACCAATCGCATGTAGATAGAGTTTAGTGCGGGGAAGAAGCCTACTAATTTGGGTGGTCATCGGATAATATTTAGCGGCTAAAATATACCATATCATTTTCATCATCATGTTGAAAAAAAAATCAAAATTATTCATTAAACCGTGAATATTTTAAATCCCGGCGAAATCACAAAGCCATCAAAAGGTTACTTCTGACCTTTACATTGATGTTATTATCCAACAAATCGGATATATAGCAAAATATGTGCGATATATATGTCTATCAAAGGAGATATGCTTGAAGAATCTCTTATATATCGAGAACGGCTGAACTGATTTCGACAGTTCTCATTAATTCAGAATGGCCTCTTGGCAGGAAAGAAAAAACGTCTAAAAAATCGCATAAAAATATCTCTCTAAAGATGAAAATATTGATTTTGTAAATTTTTCTCATATTTTTTTCAATTTTGTCATATTTTTGGCATATTTTCATTTTGAATTAAACATTTTGTAATATTTCTACAGCTAACAAAACTAAGTAGTTAGGATATCATATACAGATCTCATTTATGGCCCGATCCTTACGAAATTTTGCATGGGGATAAGATGAGGGTCAGAATAGAAGTCTACTCTTTTTGGAGATGATCGCCATATATTTAGGGGTTGAAATGGACCAACAACTGCAAAATTGTCGGCAGGTCGTAATTATCGCCCGATCCTCACGCACATTTGAATGGGGGTTACCGCACATTGCAAAAGCCAAGCAGTTTTGAATGGCCATCCAAAAATATTCAATGTGTGAAGGAGTTTGCCAACTTTTGTAGACAAAACACGAAAATGTCTATTCCAGTGACTTTTTGGAGAATTCACAAATACAGGAAAGACGCACTTCTGACTATTTCGTTAAGCTGATTTCGTTGAAGAATATAGTCAAATGTCTGTATCTCATATAGATGCGTTTCAGTCAAAAACCAATAATAAATGTTAATCTTTTGCCACTTCTGAGAGATTATAGGTCTTTGGGAAAAATTGGTTCCAGATCTAGGAAGACCATTTACATCTACCAATAAATTGGATATGAGCAAATTGGTTTAAGTTGCTATTATTCGAAAATTAGAGAACGAAACCTGATGGTTTTCTTTTATTTTTTGTCACAATATCTTTTGGAATTCTTTCGAGTATCTCGCCTATATAAACTGTATCGTTTATTGTAGTGTTGTAGGGTATTCAACGGTCGACCCCGCTCGACTGTAGCCTTTGCTTACTTGTTGATATTTGAGATCTTTTAATGCAAAACCTCTCCCCGGTGTGTGAAAAATTTCCACATAAGAGCAAGAAAGGGGTTTTGAATTCCCAGACTGAATGTTGGTTTATATCGAGGTTATACAAAAAAAAAAAAAAAAAAAAAAATAACCGACATGACTGGTTTTTTGAACCAATTGGAGTAATGTTGGAAAATATATTAGCTATTCGGATCAAAACGAATTAAGATAGGAAGCTACAATTTTTCACTGCCATGTTAAGTTCGCACGGAACCCCCCCGATATTCGCTATTTTGATGATTTTAGCCACATTTTTTTTTTTTTCAATTTCAAATTGTCTAAAAATCCGCAAAAGGAGTTCCTTTCGAGTACTTTACGACCTGGAAGAATTATCTATAAAGGTCCATGACAATGTATACCTCATATAACGATACCTCCCTATACATTGGTGTGTATGATGGTTGGTATTACAAATGAGATATATCGGTCCACATTTTGGGATAGCCCCCTTATAACGGTATCTCCCGATATTCGGTATTTTGATAGTTTGAACCACATAATTTCACCAATTTGTACAAAAATTGGTATTTGTAGTACTTTATGGGTTCTAGCTCTAGTGGCGGAATATTGTAGGTCGACATATTCGTATAGCCCCCGTATAATAGATCTCCCGATATTCGGTATTTTAATGATTTTTCTAAATTTTCCACAGGTTTTTTTTTTGTTGTTTGTAATGGCTTCCAGCTTCAGTGACAGAACATTGGCTATATAGGTCCACGTTTTTGTATAGCCCCCCATATAAAACGGTACCTCCCGACATTCGGTATTTTTCCACGGATTTGCCTAAAAATTGGTATTTGTTGTTCGTTATGGTTCTAGCTCCGTTGGCGGAACATTGTATATGCGGCTCCACGTTTTCGTTTAGCCTCCATATAATTGTACACCCCAAAATTCGGTATTTTGAAGGTTTAGCCCACATTTTTCTACGGAGTTGTCTAAAAGATGGGATTGGTAGATCCAGTGGTAGAACATTGAAAACCTAGGTCTATGTTTTCCTATAGCGCACATATAACTGTTCCATTGGATATTCGGCATTTTGACGATTTAAGCCACATTTTCTAATAGATTTGTGTGAAATTTGGTAGTAGTGCTTCAAAATGGGTTCTACAGCCGGCGTCAAAACATTGCCATATTCGTCCTAGTCAAACTAGTTACATTTATCAACGAAATTATGTAAAATTTGGCATTTAAAACTCGCAATAGATAACAAACGTTGTAGTATAAAATTGTCTTGTCGTATTAGTATGGCCCCCAAATAACGGCTCCAACCGATCTTCTGGAGGTTGTACATTAAAGTGGAACACGTTTGAGTCTAGATACTCTTGTATAAAAATGTTTTCTTTACCCAATGATCTTTTCACGTGTTTTTCAAAATACATGATTCGAAATAAATGCACTAAAATACTGTAACTCAGAAGTTAATGCATCGTTTATACATATAAACTCTGGTATTGACCTTTCAAATGTAGTTTACAGAAACATAATCGAGTTCGATGATGGGCAATACAGGTCCACTCCTTCTGGTCCAAAAAAGGTCAAAATTTTCACAGAAAATAATTATTAAATTATCCGATTACCGATTATCTTCAAATTTCACACATCCCAATATTTTTTTTCCAACACAAGATATGGTGTGAAGACGGAGGTATCCCCCTAAAACGTATCAAAATTTTGAACAATTATATCACAAGTAAATATGGAATAAAAATGCAATACAACACAAGTAAATATGGAATATATCGGACCACGCCTTCTGGTACCTCCCCCAGAAAGGGTCAACATTTTGGCTGCTTATACCCTCATAACATGCGATCTCCTTAAACAAAGCCACTCTGCGATTTTCTTTAAACAAATTATGTCTCAATTTGTGGCCAAACTCGAGATTAAATGAAAATAGGGAATTTTTCGATCCTCTCCTTTTGACACACGCTTATGGTGAGGGGTAGTTGCTTAAAATTTGGAAATAAGTCAATTGTCATAAAATTGCAAATAATTATTCGTAGAAATCTTGTAATTCCGCACAATGCAATAACTTTATCTTTATTGCCTCTTATAGTGTAAAAGAGGAACTTATTAGCCTATTCTTTCAGGTACAAAATTTTGAATCACTGCACTAATAACACTAATAACACAAAATAATTTAAAATAATCCATTAAAAACAATGATTACCTCTCAAGAATTTACCTGTTTTTCAAGAGCCTTTATTTTAAAAACAATTAAGCAAAGGCTATAGTCGTGCGGGGCCGACGATGTGATACCCTACAACACCACAATATGTTAGAATTCCTCCTTATGTCTAAATCCATTTTGGAAGACTTGACTTTTGGAATTATGTCATAGAGCAGTGCCCAGATATAACGCTTAGCTTTTTGACCAGGGACATTTGTCCAATATTTACGCACTCCGTCATGTTGTGATCCATTTTACAGCTAAATATAATCCAATGGTCATCCAAAATGCCAGACTTCTTCCCTGCCCTTTACTCTTTTCTTATTCAAAATTTCGTGTGAATTGTAACTTTTTTCTGTTTTTGGCTCATTTGAACTACTAAATATTTTTCGTTCATCTCCAAAAGCAATAGGCCGAATTAGCATAAAAAAGCCAGAAGTTCGTCTTTTGTGTATTTCGGATATCGTCTGTAACTAATGTTGTTATTTTTTTTTCACACAAAAGCAGTGGTCCATTCTACCCGCTGTCCTAAACTCTAACTTCATGCGAGATTTCATGCGAGTGTTGACTTTTGGAATTATGCCATAGAGTAGTGCCCAGATATACCACTTAGCTTTTTGACCGGGGACATTTGTCCAATATTTACGCACTCCGTCGTGTTGTGGTCTATTGTTCAGCTAAATATAATCCAATGGTCATCCAAAATGCTAGACTTCTTCCCTGCCCTTTACTCTTTTCTCATGCAAAATTTCGTGTGGATTGCAAAATTTTTCTGTCATTTGAACTACTAAATATTTTCCGATCATCTCCAAAAGCAATAGGCCGAATCAGCATAAATAGCCAAAAGTTCGCCTTTTGTGTATTTCGGATATCGTCTGTAACTAATGTTGGTATTTTTTTCACACAAAAGCAGTGGTCCATTCTACTCGCTGTCCAAAACTCTAACTTCATGCGAGATTTCGTGTCCTTTGCTTTCTATTTGTGACCTTTATAACGGCTGCAAAATCAGCGATATTTTTAGTTGTTGGTCCATTTCAACCCATAAATATATTGCGGACATCTTGGAAAACAATAGGACTAGCCCTTCTGTGCCTAACCCTACCTTGTGAAGAATCGGACGATAATTGCAATCTGTATATAACAACCTCAATCTGTATTGAAAGGTGAAAAAATATTATAAAATATACACTTTAATATTATAAGTCAAATTGAAAAAATCGCATGCGATAAAAAATATTAAAAAATAAAAAAATGTCACAAAATACTACAAAATCTATATTAACATCATTATTGGCAACTTTTTATTCGATTTTTTTTAGATTTTATGCTTTTATGCCAAGACGACATTCTGAATTAACAAAATTTGTCAAAATCGGTCCAACCATTCTTGAGCTATAAGAATTCTAGCTAACATCCCCTTCCTTTGTATATATACATTGAATATATTTCGATATATATCCGATAAATTTAGTACCGTCATCTACATAACAGTCAGAATTGACCTGTTCTTTTATTTGTGATTTCGCCAGGATAAAAAATATTCGCGGTTTAATGGAAAATTTGACTTTAATTTAACACAAAGGTTATGGTCAATTTCACCTACTAAATATTATCCGATGACCATCAAAATTGGAAGGTTACTGCCCAGCCCTAAGCTCTAGCAACATGCAAACTTCCGCGTCGATTGGTCTATAATTTTGCAAATGCAAAATCAGGAAATTTTTTAGTTTTGGTCCATTTCGACCCCTAAATTTTATTCAATCATCTCCAAAAACAATAAGGTTCTATTCTGACCCTATCCCCACTTCCATTTTCAATTTCGTGATGATCGGGCCATAATTGCGACCTGTAGAGTGATTACAAATTAACATGGACAGACGGAATGACGGATATACATAGCTAGATCGACTCAGCTCGGCGAGATAGGAAGATCGATATATACTTTCCAGTGTGGGAAAATAATATTTCGTGGGGTTACATAATTTTTGGCCCAATCAAACCCCAATAAAAATGCATTTGCTTGACGACAAGGGTCTTTCAATTGCTCTCTTCGAGGTTCTTGAATCTTGCAAGAATACCCACTTATTAATAGGAAAGTTCAGCGGTGTCAACTTTTTTAAATTCTTTGACTTTTATAAAAATCTTACACAGATCATTCACTTATTTCACATTGACTTTTATTTTCTTTTTTTCAATTTCTTTTGTGAATTATATTTTTATGCGTTTTCTATTTTTTTTTTGTCATTGTTCTCACTTACACAGGCAACAATGGCCAACAAAGCCAAAAATAATTTCATTGTGTCTTCAAAATCTTCTGCACTTTCACTCTCGAACTATAACCGTGGCGTTGAATGGTTCCCAATCAACTGATTTAATTCGGAATTGAAGAAATGCTATATAAGCATTTATTCTCCTCATCTACCCCCTGACATTCACACATACATACCCACAGACACACATGCAGAGGCCAGAGACATGTGGTGTACTTTGTTGGTTGACGTTTAAGCTGCAGCCGAGTCTTAAGCTGATAAGACAGAGATCTGAACCTTTTGTGTCATCTTATCTGTGCAAATACGTTTGGTTTTCATTTTTTGTTTTCTTGAGGAGACCTAGCGATAGTTGGTGATAAGCCGGGATACATATTTATTTATTTTTTCTATTATTTGCATTGGATTGCTGTTGTTTGTGTGTTTGTTTTGCTTGGTCTCCCGGTTCTAGGTTTATAAATATTACTGGGAATAGACATAATTTTAAGGATGATGATTTTTTCGAAATGATTGACATTTGCTTGTTGAAATGAAATGAAAACAAAAAACATACAACCTCTGATAAGCATAATCCAACACATAACCTTTGAGGTTGACATAATCATGTTAAACAAAGTATTTGCAGCAATTGTGTGATAAGTTTCTCGAGATATTCAATATTTTGGTACCAATTTTTAAAACTGATAATGAGACATAGTTCTTAGCATGAATAAAAATTACATTTTGAGTTGAAGGGACGATTGGGAAGAGTTCTTAATAACATGGTGGAATCTTAACTCAAACACAACTGAGAAAAAAGGTAACAATTTAGAAATAGAGAGTAAAAATTGGCTTGTCGAAAAATATAAACCCATAGGCTATGATCATTTGTATACGTATATGTGTATATACTAACCGCATTCGATCAAAAATTATGGTTCGTATTTTTTACAATATATAATAAAGCAGTAAATGTTCTTAAAAATATACAAGCCTTAAGAAAAACAAGTTAAAAAGCAGTACGTTCGGCCGGACCGAACTTTCAATACCCTCCACCATTTGAACGAATTTGGAAATTTTCAAAAAATAAAATCCGTTAAAAATTCCGGTAAAATCTTAAAAATACCGAATATAGCCGTTATATTGAGGTCTATACGACGTGGACCTACATAGGAATTGTTGTCATAAGCCATTACCATATTCAAATTCGAAACTTCAAATAAACGGTGAATAATATAGCTAAAATCATCAAAATACCGTACATAGGGAGGTACCGTTACATCTGAGCAATACGAAGACCTGGACCAGCATAAACAATTTTCTGTCACAGGCTATAGCATACATAACGAACTTCAAATACGACATCTCAAAAAATTTCGGTGGGTATTGTACCTATCGAATATAGGGAGGTACTGATATATGGGGCCTATACGAAGACCTGTACCTGCATAGACAATTTTCTGACACAGACTGTAATTTCCATTACGAACTCTAAATACGTAATTTGAAACAATTCCGTTAAATAATGACGCTAAAATCATCAAAATACCGAATTTTGGGAGTTACCGTTATATGGGGGCTATACGAAGACGTGGACCTGCACAGACAATTTTCTTTCTAAGGCTGTAGTATCCATTTCGAACTTTAAATACAAAATTTTAAATAATTCCGATGAATAATGTCGCTAAAATCATCAAAATACCCAATATCGGGAGGTATCGTTGTATGGGGGCTATACGAAGACGTGGACCTGCACAGATAATTTTCTGTTCTAGGCTGTAGTATCCATTTCGAACTTCAAATACGAAAATTGAGACAATTCCGGTGAATAATGTCGCTAAAATCATCAAAATACCGAATATCGGGAGGTACCATTATATGGGGGAATATGAAAACGTGGACCTACATGGCCCATTTACGAACATAACCTGCCTACTGGAAAAATAAACACGTGTGGAAAATTTTTGCCTTCTATCTCGATTTGTTCGAAAGATAGCTTGATTACAACAGACAGACAGACGGACATCTCTAAATCGACATAGAACTTTACGCTGATAAAGAATATATATACTTTGTTGGGCCTTATTTGAGTATTTCGAGGAGTTACAAACGGAATGACAAAGTTAATATACCCTCCATAGTATGATGGAGGGTTTAGAAATATTATTATTTGAATAAGTGACAAGGTCAATTTCTACAATCCCAAAGTTTAAATACTGCTACCGAATTTCAAACTAATACCGAGAGTTACTTTTATGCGGGAAATAAACGGAAACATGGAGCGATTTATTCAGTCCCATAAAAATATCTGATATAACTTGCTTATAACCATTTAGGTGGAACCTTTGAAGGTTAAAGTACTTACCACAGGCGGAGTTATGGGCATGTTTAAATCTTCTGCTTACGAATATATATATAGATATACTCCGTGTGTAAAAATTAATTTTTTTCACGAGATTGTTGAAAACTCTCAAAAAAATTCTGATTTTGGCTACGACATCTTTAAAATATCCCGGATTTAAACTGACATAACCTGCGAAGGGCTTGAAATATTTTAAACTATAATTTGCCAGGAAGTCCTTGAAAATATTTTAAGTTAAACCCCAACATTTGTATGTATCCGGGAAGTCCTCAGCAAAGTCCAGAATTACTGAAATAAAAGCTAGATATGTAAAACAAGTAAGCAAAGGCCAAAATACTGCAGAGCGACATTCGGACAGCGTGTGACGGTTTCATAGGACGTTTGAAGGCCATAATTCGTGCCAAAGGTGACCAATTCGAACAAATCTATACTTATTCTAAGATTTTATGCTAGTTCCGACATTTTTGCTTTCATTTAATAAAATTAAAAAACAAGTAAGCTGCTTCTATAGTCGTGCGGGGCCGACTATGTGATACCCTACAAAACTACAATATGTTAGAAGCCTCCTTATGTCCAAATTCATTTTGGAAGATATCTCTTTTGATATTATATCACGGAGAAGTCCCCAGATATTACCCGTAGCATTTTGACATTTGCCCAATATTTATGCACTCCGTCATGCTGTTAGATGTTGTGCTCCATTTTACAGCTGAATATAACCCAATGGTCATCCAAAATCCCTATTCTTAACTCTCTTCTCAGGCGTGTCGATTGGCTTCAATTGTGGGACAGGAAATGTTTTCTGCTTTTGCAAGAGGCTCCTCAGTATCTCCAAATTTGAACTCGTCTATATGATTTGCTTGTCTACGATATCTGACTATATTCATCAACAAAATCAGCAAAAAAAATTCAGAAGTTCGCCTTTGTGTATTTTGTATATCGCCTGTAAGTAATGGTGGTATGTTTTCAAACACAAAAGTAGTGGTCCATTCTACCCGCTGTCCTAAACTCTAACTTCATGCGAGATTTCATACCTTTTGGTTTCTATTTGTGACCTTTATAACGGCTGCAAAATCAGGAACATTTTTAGCTGTTGGTCCATTTCAACCCGTAAATATATTGCGGACATCTTTGAAAACAATAGGCCTAGCCCTTCTGAGCCTTACCCTACCTTTGTGAAAATTTTCGTGGGGATCGGAAAATAATTGCAATTCGTATTACAGCCTATGTTGTAAGGTAAAAAAATATTACAATATGTACACTTCAATATTATAAGTCAAATTGAAAAAATAGCATGCGATAAAAATATGAAAAAAATAAGAAAATATCACTAAATACTACAAAATCTATGTTAACATCATTATTGGCAACTTTTTATGCGATTTTGTAGATTTTATTCTTTTATGCCAAGAGGGCATTGTGAATTGACAAAATTTGTCAAAATAGGTCCAGCCATTTTTGAGATATAAGCATTCTAGCTAACATACCCTTCTTTTTTATATATATTACGCTATATACAGGGCGAGATGAAAAAACTGCAACCAACTTCAGACTGCTGTCATTTCTAAGCCTCTCGTCCGACAGCTTTTAAAATTAGTCCAGTGATAGCTCATTATATTGTTTACAATCGTACAAACGCATTTTGGTGAAAATTTTCCAGAAAAAAAATTATTCGTGATGGAATTCATGCGTGATAGTGTGATTTCTTTATATATGGAAAACCACAAGTGGCTATCGATCGAGCATTCAGTATTTAAATGTGAATAACTGTTTTCTGTCTCGTACCATCGCTCGTTACCGTGATACTGATAGCATAGCCCGACGTCATGGAAGTGGACGGAAGAAAACAGCAACATCAGCAGAAATGGTTCGAATAGTAAAGAAGCGACTTGATCGAAATCCGCGTCGCAGTGGCCGAAAAATGGCTCGTGAGCTGAACATATCGCAATATTCCAAATATTGAAAAATGAGCTCAAGGTAAAGCCATTGAAACTCCAAAAAGTGCAAAAACTTACACCGCAACAGAAAGAAAATGGACTCTAAAGAGCTAAAGAGTTGCTTCGCTTGGCCAAAAGTGGTGAACGTCCGAATTTGGGTTTCTCCGATGAGAAAACATTCGTTGTCCAGTAGTTTGTAAAACAAACAAAATGATCGTGTTTACTTGCCAAAGAGGTCAGCTGAAAATGTGCACCTTCGGTTGGCCACCTGAACTGAATCGCCGGCCATGGTGATGGTGTGGGCCGCCATAACTGCCGATGGTCGCTCTCCGCTCGTATTAATAGACCGTGGCATCAGAATAAATGCCGAATATTATTGCAAAAATATTCTGGAGGGTGTATTAAACCTTGGGCACGCAACAATTTTGGCCGAAGACCTTGGACATTCCAACAGGATTCACCACCATCGCACTCAGCACGCGCCACCCAAGAATGGTTACAAAATGAGGTTCCTCGCTTCATTTCCAACGCACAATGTGCATCAAAATCTCCGGATACCAATACGTTAGACTATTGTGAAAAATACCAAAGTGTCGATAACCTCAATCAAGCACTTCGCCGGAAATGGGCCAAAATACCGCAGAGCAACATTCGGGCATCGTGTGGGAGTTTGAAGGCCAAGAGACGTGTCAAAGGTGACCAACTCAAACAAATCTAAACTTATTCTCATTCAATAAAATTTAAAAAATAAATGTAACAAGTTAAAAAGCAGTAAGTTCGGCCGGGCCAAACTTTGAATACCCTCCACCATTTGGAACGAATTTGGAAATTTTAAAAAAAAATAAATCCTTAAAAAATTCTGTTAAAATTTAAAAATACCGAATATTGCCGTCATATTGGTGTCTATACGACGTGGAACTACATAGGCATTCTTTGCCATTAGCCATATCAAATTCGAAACTTGAAATAAACAGTGAATAATGTAGCTAAAATCATCAAAATTTCGTATATAGGGAGGTACTATTATATCGGAGCAGTGCGAAGACCTGAACCAGAATAGACAATTTTCTGTCACAGGTAATAGCATCCATTACTAATGTCAAATGCGATATCTCAAACAATTTTGATGGTATTGTACCTAAACTCGTCAAAATACCGAATATAGGGAGGTACTGATATATGGGGCCTATACGAAGACCTGGACCTGCATAGACAACTTTCTGTCATACATACAGCCTCCCTTTGGATACTACAGCCTCCCTTTTGAACTTGAAATACCAAATTTGAAACAATTCCGGTGAATAATGTCGCTTAAATCATCAAAATACGGAATATCGGGAGGTACCGTTATATGGGGGTTATACGAAAACGTGGACCTGCACTGACAATTTTCTGTCTTAGGCTGTAGTAAAATAATGTCGCTAAAATCATCAAAATACCGACTATCGGAGGGAACCGTTATATCGGGGCTGTACGAAGACGTGGACCTGCACATACAATTTTCTGTCATAGTCTGTAGTACCCATTATGAACTTCAAATCCGAAATTTGAAACAATTCCGGTAAATAATGTCGCTAAAATCATCAAAATATCGACTATCAGAGGGTACTGATATATGGGGCCTATACGAAGACCTGGACCTGCATAAACATTTTTCTGTCACAGACTGTAGTTCCCATTACGAACTCTAAATACGTAGTTTGAAACAATGCCGGTGAATAATGTCGCTAAAATCATCAAAATACCGAATATAGGGAGGTACCGTTATATGGGGGTTATACGAAGACGTGAACCTGCCCAGATAATTTTCTGTCATAGGCTGTAGCATCCATTACGAATCTCAAATACCAAATTTGAAGCAATTCCGGTGAATAATGTCGCTAAAATCATCAAAATACCAAATATCGGGAGGTACCGTTATATGGGGGCTATACGAAGACGTGGACCTGCCCAGATAATTTTCTGTCATAGGCTGTGGTATCCATTTCGAACTTCAAATACCCAAGTTGAAACAATTCCGGTGAATAATGTCGCTAAAATTATCAAAATACCGAATATCGGGAGGTAACGTTTTTTGGGGGCAATATGAAAACGTGGACCTACATGGCCCATTTACGAACTTAACATGTCTACTGGAAAAAAAACCACGTGTGCAAAATTTTAGCCTTCTATCTCAATTCGTTCGAAAGATAGCGTGATTACAACAGACAGACGGACAGACAGACATACAGACAGACGGACATGGCTAAATCGACTTAGAATTTGACGCTGATCAAGAATATATATACTTTGTTGGGTCTAACATGAGTATTTCGAGGAGTTACAAACGGAATGACAAAGTTAATATACCCTCTATAGTATGGTGGAGGGTATAAAAAATATGGCGTTTGACTTTGTTGCAGTTTTTTTTATCTCACCCTGTACAATAAGACAAAATGTTTCCTACTGACACTTGTATCTGGTATAAAATCAGACACATACAACCTTCATAAAATGTGACGCATTTCAAGACTATTTGCATAAAATCTCAATAATAATTGAAATTAAAACGCAATATTATTCTCACACGACCCACAATAATATACCACGCACTAATTGATAAGTTGATGTTGACTTCATCGGATTTTCATTATTTTCCTACATAATTATTTATTCTAACTTTTTTTTTTCTTTTTTTCGTAAAATGTAAAAAAAATATTTTGAAAATTATGTTGGTCTCTCATTTTTAACATCACCATCCGCATTATTTCCTTCTTTCAAGCACTTGGCGACATGGTAGACCATTTCATACTCCGATTTAATTTCCTTGTATTTATTAACACAATCTACCACCATGTTGCGATTATGCAACCGATTCATCTTATCTAAAGCGTAGAGTAATCTCTCCGTATCGAATCCCTTTTCCGTGGTATAGAAATTCATGCCTTTAGCTGTGCATATAATATACGCTATCAAATCTGGATGATAATGTACTAAACCTAGCAGCAAATCAGCTTTACTTTCATCGGTCAGTGGATTTGATTCGGCACACTGATCTTGTATCGCCCCAGGGTCTTTGGGATACCAATCATGTTCGTTAGCGAGGACCTTTAAGAGTGCAAATATATTTATTAAGAAATAATTACGAAGAAAATACAAATAATTATACCTGGGTGAAAATAATTCCGATCAGTATGAAAAATGATTTATTCATTGTATCAACGGCTTGATTGAAAATATTACTGATTATTTACAGATGGAGAGTGTTGTTTTTATATTAAAGACCTTTAACCTTAAACATCTATTACTATAGATGCATTAGAGGCGGGCAAAAAAAAATTAAATGCGCTTGAAGAATGATAGCCACACTTTCTAACACAAATAAAAATATTATGGGAGCCGGAACCGCGAAACGTTGAAAAAGAACTGCTCATGAGTCGAAGGGGCTCGAAAATATGGGATGTTCGTTATTCGAACTGAATGAATATGAAAAGTACAAATGGCATGGAAATCTGAAATCCGATACGAAAATTACTAAAAGCTGCTAGATAAGGTATATATAAATATATGTACTTTACCATTATTAGAGAGATTTTTGGAAATTCGCAAAAAAAACTCACACAAATATTCAAAAAAAAAAAAAAATCACCTGAAGAGGTGAACCGGTGTATTTCATTTGCACCAGAAAATAGGTTAGTTTTCATTCACTCGGGAGTGAAACTTGCTCGCGAGTGTAATTGATTGAAGAATGAGAGTTTTATACAGAGTTAACTCTCTCTGTTTGAAAAGGTAGATTGGGAGCCTTTCGCTTAAAATAAAATGAGAGTGAAGCAAGTAAAAAAGCTGTAAGTTCGGCCAACCGAACTTTGAATGCCCCCCACCATTTGGTACAAATTTGGCAATTTAAAAAAAAAATATAATTCCCTTCAAATTCTGTTAAAATCTTGAAAATACCGAATGTAGCCGTATATTAGGGCTTATACGACGACGTGGATCTGCATAGGCAAATTTTGTCACAAGCTATTACAATATTCAAATGCGAAACTTGAAAAAAACATGTGCTTATAATGTAGCAAGAATCAGCAAAATACCCAATATAGGGAGGTACCATGGGGGTTATAAAACGTGGACCTGCACAAACAATTTTCTGGAACAGGCTGCAGTATCTATTACGAACTTCAAATACAAAATGTGAAATAATTCCGGTACATAATGTCGCTAAAATGATCAAAATACCGAATATCGGGGATTCCGTTATACGGGGGCTATACGAAGACGTGGACCTGCGCAGACAATTTTCTGTCATAGGATGTAGTATTCATTACGAAATTCATATAACAAAATTTGAAATAGTTCCGGTAAAAAAATCATGGAAATACCGAATATCGGGAGGTACCGTTATATGGGGGCAGTACGAAGACGTGGACCCACACAGACAATTTTCTGTCACAGGCTGTAGTATCCATTACGAACTTCAAATTCTAAATTTGAAATAGTTTCGGTAAATAATGTCTCTAAAATCATCAAAATAGTGCATATCAGGAGGTACCGTTATATGGGGGCTATACGTAGATGAGGACCTACTTGGCCCATTTGGTTCATCCAATGCAATGTATTCAGTTGTTAGTACCCTTTTGATACGCATTCGGATAACCCATCCTTGCCATATGCCTGCCCATTAAGAGGGGTCTCGTTCAAAATTTGAAGATTCTAGGCCGTTTCTGGTCGTTGATTCTATATCAGACAGTCAGTTATTTCACCACTCTTTTATACCCTCCTCCATGGGGGGAGGAGGGCGTTTGTAACACCACGAAATATACATTTTAGACTTCAAAAAGTGCATGTATTCTTGATCAGCACAAAATTCTCGACATAGCGATGTCTGTTCGTCTGTCTGCCGTCCGTCCGTCTGTGTAAATCACCATAGCTTCCCAACGAATTGAAGTAGGTTGATAAAATTTTACTCAGATGTGTGTTAGGTCTGCAGGACATTTGGTATGGCCATATAACTGTTCCGACAGATTTAAGGGTTTTGCTGCTTTAGCCACAAATTTGCTATAAATTAGCCGCGTGTGTTCCTTGCAACGTAGGTCCAAATTTTGATACAGTTCCCATATAACTTTACCTCCAAATATTCGGTATTTTGATGATTTGTGTCACACTTTTCACCGGAAATGCAATGCATAATTTGCAATTTGAAGTTCCTAATGGCTACTATATCCTATGACAGAAAATTGGATATGTAGGTCCACGTATTTGTATAGCCCCATATATCACGGTACCCCTTCTATATTCAGTATTTTGATGATTTTAGCTACTTTGTTCACTGGAATTGATTCAAAGTTCGTATTTTAAGTTCGTAACGGCTGCTACAAAATGTGACCGAAAACTGCATATGCAGGTCGGTCCAGGTTTTTGTATAGCCACCATATAACTGTACCTTCAGATATTCGATATTTTGATGATTTTAGCGACATTATTCATTGGAATTATTTCAAATTTCGTATATTATGTTCATAATAGGTACTACAGCCTATGACAGAAAATTGCATATACAGACCCAGGTCTTCGGATGGTGCCCACATAGTGTTACCTCCCTATTTACCGCATTATGAGAATTTTAGCTGCATTATTCACCAACATTATTTCAAGTTTCGTATTTGAATATCGTAATGTCCAATGAAGGAAATTCCATTTTCAGGTCCTCGTCTTCGTATAGGCATTCGGTATTATTATGATTTTTGAAGATTTTTTTTAACGTTTTTTTTTGAAATTTACAAATTTCTTCAAAATGGTGGAGGGTATTCAAAGTTCGGCCCGGCCGAGCTGTTCAAAAAAATTTCAGGATTTTTTTTAGAAAGAATAAAACATCCTTTAAAAAGATTATAGGTCATACCACGATATGGTATGATCCTCACATGAACGTATCGCCTGATTTGAGGTATTTCCGGGTTCATGGCCACATTTTTTAATTGATTTGATCCTTATTTGACATCTTGGTGGCAAATCTCTTCACAGAAAAATTTCAATGTTGATCAATAATTCGTAGTACGTATAGGAACCTCCTGATGTTAACTATTTCAAGTGTCTGACCACATTTTCCAATCGATGCGTATTCAGGCTACTTTGGGGGTAGAGAACCATCATAGAGACAAATTGCAATATACGTACATATTTTGGTATTGTCTCCCATATAACAGGTACACCGATATATAGTGATTATAATCGATTGGCAGACAAGAAGATGGACATTGCTTAATCGCCATTTTTACTATAATCAAAAACATAGATGCACAATTTGAGGTTATATGGTAATGGGTATGGAAGGGTATATAAATTTGACCATTCTGAAATTATACTGCCCTCAATTATGAGGTGCACAAAACCATCTTCTAAAACTCAATTTGTTGCTCATTTGAATCGGAAATGTTGCTAAGCCCATTACAATACTAAACAGTAAGATAGCTGTGAATTCGGCCGGGATGAACTTTGAATACCCTCCACCCATTTATAACGAATTTGGAAATTTTGAAAAAGATAAAATCCGTTAAAAATTCTGTTAAAATCTTAGGGTCTATACGACGACGTGGACCTTCATAGGCCACTTTTGTCAAAAGCCATAAAAATACTCAAATGCGAAACTAGATCTGTTTATAATGTCGCTAAAATCATCAAAATACACAATATCGGGAGGTACCGTTATATGGGGGCTATAAGAAAACGTGGAACTGCAAAGACAATTTTCTGTAATAGGCTGTAGTATCCATTACATCAAATAGCAAATTTGAAACAATTCCGGTGAATAATGTCGCTAAAATCATAAAAATACCAACTATCGGGAGGAACCGTTAAGTGGTAACTATATCATACCGTGGACCTACATGACCCATTTTCAATATCAAAAGTCCTGCAGACATAATACACATTTGAGTAAAATTTTATCAACCTACTTCTTTTCGTTCGGAAGCTAGAGTGATTTCAACAGACGAACGGACAGAGCTAAATAGACATAGAATTTTCACCCTCCATACTATGGTGGAGGGTATAAAAATTGAGCTTAGTTCTTAAATGGGGCTACTATAAACATTTGCTATATAATTTCTACTAGATGTGCTATATCAGTTAGATTTCTAACTCTTTAATTAAAACCTATGGGTAAAAAATGGGATCAGGTTCGTTAAAATCTCAGTCAAGTTATTATTTGAAATAAAAATTGTTCCACTTATATTAGCCAGATTATGTAAATTATTATGCTTAAAAAAAATGTCTTAAAGACTAAAACTAAGTCCCGGCCAGTTAGTAATTTATACAATTTATTATTTTTTATGAAGCTCAACAAACAATTTCAATGTTTTTCCCCGGAAACATTTTTATCTTCAATGCACTTGGCTACATTAAACACCTTTGTTTCTTCCGGACTAACATCCTTATTCTTCTTGACACACTCTTCGACAGCGTTGCGATTATGTAAAAGATCCATTTTCTCTAAGGCATATATCAATCTATTCGCATCGAATCCATTCTCCGTAGTATAGAAATTCATGAACTTGGCAGTGCACAGGAAGAAAGCGATTAAATCTGGGTGGGCATGGATAACACCTTTCTCCAGATCATTTCGACTTTCTTCCGTAAGTGGATTTTCTTCTCGGCATTTTTCATGCACTGCTACAGGATTTTTGGGATACCAATCATGCGGGTCATCGGCAAGGGCCTTTGAGAAAGACAGTTAAAATAACAATTTCGAAATAGATTAAGGCGAAAAGCAAAATAAATACCTGTGAGAGAATTACACCTAAAATAATAGCACCAATTATTTTGTTCATATTGAAAAAAAAAAATGTCTTGGTCCGAACGGATTTGTGTAGTTACAGATTGAAACTAGTCGTGGTCCAGTCTTTTGTAAGCATTTTATATAGCCTTTTTTACACAAATTGATTGAGATTATATGACATTGCATTTTTTGTTTAGATCCCAGCAGATAAGAAAATTTAGCATTATAGTGATTAGCAAACAAGTAAAAAATCTATAAGTTCGGCAGGGGCGAACTTGGAATACTCTCCACCACTTGGAACGATTTTGGCAATTCTCAAAAAAAAATAAAATCTGTTAAAATCTTAAAAATATCGAATGTAGCTGTTATATTAGAGTCTATACGACGACATAGACCTGCATAGGTAACTTTTGTCATAAGTCATTACAATATTCAAATTCGAAACTAACTAGTATCCATTTCGAACTTCAAATACAAAATTTTTTAACAATTCTGAAGAATAATAT